TATTACGAATTTGAAATAGTAGGCGGCGGCAAATACCAACCGCTTTTTTCTGAAATGTCACTAGTAACTAACCTAAAAATAGAATAATGTCACCAGGAGAAGCATTCATTTTTAAATTAAGTTTTTTATAAGAAAAATGTTGATTATTGAAGTGAAAAGTGTCAAAGAAGGAGGAGAAAGGTGTAAAGGTGACCTAGTGAATAGATGCTTGTGTTTTTAAATAGTTTATTTTGTGAAAAAAAGGCTGAAAAGTTGCCCTTTTCAGAACTTTGAAGAGCCGTAACTTTGTAAATGAAGGAGAGCGCCGCTTTTTTCTTTCAGATTCGTAATCTACGCATCAAAATAAGTATAAAATAAGTACACGCAAAATTTTTTTTCAAAATCGCCGGGTGTCAAAACGAAAATTCACCAAAAGTAGGGCAAAAAATTATGAAACAAAAGTAGAACAATCAGATAATAAATCTAAAGTGGTATGGGAAGTTGTGAGAGATATTGAGGGAAATGAATAAATGAGGCAAGAAGGTATTCTGTCGAACAAAGATGCAAAATCTGTAGCAAACGACTATAATAACTTCTTGATAAGTGCAGCCTCCAACTTATTGAAGCAACAACAGAATGAAAAGTTTTCACAGAATTGACTATTTTAGAGATTGTTGACATAGTATCTTTCTACTAGTGAAACCGAAAACTAAATGAGAATATTCTGTCGTACTGACATTTTTGTTGTTTTTATAAACAAAAAATAACTTAACGATGAGATTGGAACCTTTGGTGTGAAAGTTGAATAACTTTTTTCGAGATCAATTGCCCTGACACCAAACTGATATTTTCACACTCGATGCGCGTTTCGCCAACAAAGTTAGCATCCTCAGGAGAAGAAAATTGATGCCTAGTCTAGTCTGGTTAGTCCTTATATACTGAAATTTGTTACCTGAGGTTGTATGCCTGAAGTCCAATATGGAATTTCTCGGTAATTAACTACCTGCAAGTTCTTAGTAATTATTCTCGTCCTAACAGAAGATCAAAAAGCGGGCTAAACGGGATGGGTCCCTTATCGCCATTCATGCTGTTTTTACATTTTGCTATTTCTAGACTCTCACATGCATCGAGTAGCCTGGTGTTATGCACATGCTTGATCAGTTTCAGATTGTTTTCACCAATTCTGTGGTCCTTGTCTAGAGCATGTTGGGCGACACTGGATTTTTCTATCCTTCCGTATTTCATGTGTGCACAATGCTCC